CCCCAAAACCCCAAAACCCCAAAACCCCAAGAAAAGACATAATTGTACGAAATAAGTAATGATTAATAAATAGTTAAATTCTGATAAATATCAATAGTAGCGATGTTCGAATCAACCTGATGAATACGTACTGTTTTGAACCTGATTTTGATGAATAAAATAAGGTAGACAATTTTGTTAGATTCTTAGAAGTATAAGGTTGAAATAAAAAAAAATGCATGAGTAAATTATTTATTAAAGTTTAAAGTTAAATTTAAAACAAATATATACGAGTTATACTGGTTTTGCAGTTATACAGTCACTATTAATTTCAATTCTCACAAGTGTAAAGTTCAATTGAAAATTGCATCCTAATCTATATTTTTGGACGATTATTGGTTGTTTTGACATTGGTTCATGTCGTTTGCTTTATCTGAAGTATCTTACTTTTAAATTTGCAAGAACAAATGAGGATGATGAGGAGCAAATAAACTCTTCTTGAGGTTTGACATATCAGCAATCATTTAGCCAAAATTGCTTGTGCTTTTCTAGGAAAGATCAGAAAAACTACACTTATTACTTAGCTCAACTGAATCAGCGTAAGGAGTCGATGCTTCGCTTAAAGCCTATTAGTTTTTCTTTTGAATTCTTTTCATTAGGAAGGAAGGTTAAACCAAATTGCTTGATGAGTTGTATGATTACTTAGGCCTGTTTTCTCGGATCTTCTTAAGTTCCAAGAATACTGCAGGAGATTTGCAGGCTCTTCTATTATATTCTTAAATTGTACTTTTAACATCTTGTAGAAATATGTGATTTTAGTCCAAATATTAATGTATTCTAAGTTCTCTTTCCAAAATATCTTAGGGAATGTATTATTTAAGCTGAGGAAGTCTAATGGATTATTCTTAATATGTTATCTCAATGTCTAGCATTGGGTAATCTAACTTTTTAGACACTGATTCTTATTCATTTGTCTTTTCAACTATCATGCTTTTTATTTTTATTGATAAATTTTATATATTAATTGCTTTATTAACTTAATTTTCCTTAAATGAATTTTAAAATCTAATATATTCCATGAATTTCTAATATATTAGTAACGGGGTTTTGGGGTTTTGGGGTTTTGGGG